TCTCTACTGAAAAGAAGACAATGGGAAGAATAAAATCGGCTACCTTCGAAATGTTTTGTTTGAAGGCATGATGAAACTGCATGGTTGAAAATGAGTCATATATGTAGAGACGATTCCACTAATCAGGATATGTCCTGGTTTGTATTGATTAAACATATACCTCTCTTTTAACACACTGAGCGGACAATTAATCTTCAACATTGTAGAAGGAAAATGGGACATCAGGAAAAGAAGCAGCAGCAGCATTTGACAAAGCATAAGGGAGAACTGCTACAGTTCTCTGAAACAGGCACCACTGTCTTGGGTCACAGAGTTGTCAAAGAAGAAACACAAGTCTCTTGCCAAAGAGTACAGCCACAATAACTCTACAAAGTGAGTCGAAATACTGTCTGGCACATAAAAAGATTAGCATCCAGTTTCAGATTTGCACAGTCCTACCTACAGATATCACTAAATGGTCTATATGGAGCTGGAAATATTTTGAAGTTTTTATATGAGGACATATAAACATTATTCAAGTTTGCTTGTTTTCTAATTATTTGTTACAGTGGTTTCAAGGACAATTGGGAATAGAGGTGTGTGGGCATCTCATAGGCCCTGCTGGATGTAGAATAAATCACCATGATTTCAATAATTATAAAGAGAGATGGAACCACAGTGGATTGTCAGCATCACTTGATCTGCAGATGCTCAGCTAGAGAAATATTTTTTGTTTGTTTTTTGGGCATAATTTGCATTGAAACATTTGATTGTTCCATAAAAGGACCCATTCAGGAAAGTTTGACTTCCTTCTATTCATCAAACATATTGTTGAGATTTCAAACATTGTAATATACTAAGAAAGCTAAACAGTTTTTCTCTAGCCAGGGAGAACTTTAGACTTTCTTTGCACCCTGTCTTGGTAGGGATAAGACCATTCTTACATTCAGGTCAGATACCTTAGAATAAGTACAGTATATCAAGAAAAGCAGATATTCAGACCACCAATCAAAGGAATTAAGTGTCTCACTGAGTAAAAAAGGTGGCACATCCAAACAGCCTCTGCATGGGAGGAGGTCAAAACTGGCCAAAAGGCAAGATTGCAGTCACACCAATGGTGCAAAGAGCAAAACTTTAATTGCATTCTACCAGCAAAATCTTGCCTTTTAGACTGCCTGGGCAGCCATTGGTGCTTGGCTGCTGTTCTGGGTATAAAATGAGATGTTAAGGATCTCCAGATTTGGTTGCTTTGGTTACTAATTGGTGTTTTCAATGGTCTTCAGGCAGGAATTAGTGGCCTTTGGTGAAATGGACATCTAAGTAGTTCTGCACTTGTGCCTTTCCTTTCAATGAAATCATCAAAAGATTCATATATTTATTTATTTGTTAAATTTATTTGCTGCCTATCTCACCATGAGGCTACTCTAGGTGGCTTAAAATAATAAAAGGGAAGAAATGAAAAGAATGCAAGCAGAACAGAAATAAGATAATAGAACTGTGAGAGGGACCTCGGAGTCCTAGTAGACAATCACCTAAATATGAGCCAGAAGTGTGCTGCAGCTGCCAAAAAGGCCAACACAGTGCTAGGCTGCATTAACAGAGGGATAGAATCAAGATCACGTTAATACCACTCTACAATGCCTTGGTAAGGCCACACCTGGAATACTGCATCCAGTTTTGGTCACCACGATGTAAAAAAGATGTTGAGACTCTAGAAAGAGTACAGAGAAGAGCAACAAAGATGATTAGGGGACTGGAGGCTAAAACATATAAGGAACGGTTGCAAGAATTGGGTATGTCTAGTTTAACGAAGAGAAGGACAAGGGGAGACATGATAGCAGTATTCCAATATCTCAGGGGCTGCCATAAAGAAGAGGGAATTAAGCTATTTTCCAAAGCACATGAAGGCAGGACAAGAAGCAACGGGTGGAAACTAATCAAGGAGAGAAGCAACCTAGAACTAAGGAGAAACTTCCTGACAGTGAGAACAATTAATCAGTGGAACAGCTTGCCTCCAGAAGCAGTAAATGCTCCAACACTGAAAGTTTTTAAGAAGAGACTGGACAGCCACTTGTCCGAAATGGTGTAGGGTTTCCTGCCCGAGTAGGGGGTTGGACTAGATGACCTCCAAGGTCCCTTCCAACTTTACTAATATGAACAATGAAACAATGAAAAAGAATACAATGAGAATACCAAAAAAGATGGACAAGTAGAGAGCAGAGAACTGGGGGAGGGGGGAATAGTGGAGTCTGCCATCAATCCAGCAGTGATCTCCAGTGTGGAAGTCCTGAATTTGGACCCCAGGCCAACAGAGAGTCAGGACTTTAGGCTCTTGTGGAAGGATAGGAGGGTGGGGACAGGGTAAGAACACCTTAAAAGGTAAGTTGTTCCAAAGACTGAGCCCTGCAGCAAATAAGGCTCTTCTGGATCCCAACAGATGGAGTTATTTGACTGATGACATCCAAAGTTAAGGCCTCTCAACTGGCATGAGTCGGATGGGCTTGTCCTAGGAGGATGAGTATGGACTGGACCACTTTGCCAAGGAGCCATTCTACATCCAGGTAAACAGTCAGATGGTCATCCAGAAAAATGGAAGAAAACTGGAACTTATATCTGGTAATAGAAAGAACTTCATTCATATTTACCAGATTCCAGAAAAAAATGCCAGTAAAATATTCAGGTTTCTTCCTTTTGGGATCAGATTAAGAGGAATGTTTTCATGTATTTAGCACAACTTTGCCATAAATAATAGCTGTTGTTACTCCTCGTGGTGTTCTTTTGCCTTAGGAGCCAAATGCAAATGCTAAATCCAATCTAGATAGATCTTAAAAATGAGACTAACTGAAGCCATTCTTGACAAGATTTTCCCCTTTCTTCCATTGCATTGCTTATTTTATGTAGATGTGCCTAACTTAATGCAGCATTTCCCACCTGATGTCCCTTAAATGTGTTGTCTATGGTTCACATAATTTTCAACCACAAATTGTAGGCAATGGTAGTTTGGATCATGAAGTCTGTAGTCCAGTATTTCTGAAACCTGACAATTTTAACAGGTGTGTAAATTAACTCCCCAAATTCCTCAGTTAGCACAATAATTCTCTATCCCAGTGATTCTCAACCTTTCTAATGCCGTGACCCCATAATACAGTTCCCCATGTTGTGGTGACCCCGAAGTGGGTGTGGCCACCAATAAGAGGGAGTAGGACAGCTAGGGAAAAGGGAAAAAAATGGCGGACAGCATGGTTTGGCGACCCCCGTGAAATGGTCATTTGACCCCAAATGGGGTCCTGACCCACAGGTTGAGAACCACTGCTCTATCCATTCAGAGTTTAGCTTCAAATATCTTCTATTTTGATTCAGTCCTGCATATGCATACTTCCCAGTTTAATTTTTCTCCAGCATAATTTTTCAGTATTTTATTTTTGGTCTTTAAACTCATTCTATAACATGGGGAAGGATCTTCTCCCACAGGGTTGTCCCAGGTGATTGTATGTCCTCCCTCTCCTGGTATTTAGGAAAAGGATAAAAGCATAGGTTTTTAACCAATTTTTAAATTTTTATTATTTTAATGGTTAATTAATGGTGCATTTGATTTTAGCAGTGTTAATTTTATCAAGTTTTAGTTTTTGTATTTTTCTTATTACTGTGAGCCACCTTGAGTGTTGTAATGACCAGAAAGGGAGATATAAATCTAATAATTATAAAATGGACCCCACTTGATAAAAAGTGTCCACCAAAGAAATTTAAAACAAGATGGATCAATGACATCAGCAAGTGTTGTGGGCTCAGTTGGCAAAGGGAAGCTCAGGACCGTATTAGTTGGAAACATGTGGAAGAGACCTCCATCCTACAGAGAGTAGACCATGGCTAAAATAAAGAAGAAGAAGAAGAAGAAGAAGAAGAAGAAGAAGAAGAAGAAGAAGAAGAAGAAGAAGAAGAAGAAGAAGAAGAAGAAGAAGAAGAAGAAGAAGAAGAAGAAGAAGAAGAAGAAGAAGAAGAAATCTAATAATTACACAAAATAAATGAATTACAGAATGTGCTCATTTTCTTTTTTATCTGAAGCTTCCTTCAGGCCTACCATTTCTCATGCCGCATTTATTCATGAATAAGTGCCTCAAAACTTCCTCCAATTGCTGATATATGGTCTGCAAATAGCACATGTGTTTGGACAGAAAAAAACTTTTTCAGATTATTTCTCTACTGTTAGGCCAGGTGTTGCTTTTCATGCTCACATCAAACAGTTCAGTCATTAAACTACACTGAGCTAGTTTATGAGGATTCTACTCCCTTTATATTCTTCTTTCCAGTAAGAACTCCTGGTTGCGCTTACTGTTTTGAGGCTTACTTAATTCAGATAGGTACAGATAGTTCTCAACTTATGACCAGAATTGAGCCCCAAATGTATGTTGCTAAGTGAGAAATTTGTTGAGCGAGTTTTGCTCCATTTTACAGCTTTGCTTGCCACAGTTGTTAAGTGAATCACTGCAGATAAGTTAGCAACATGGTTGTTAAGTGAATCTGGTTTCCCTATTGATTTTGCTTGTCAGAAGGTTGCAAAAGGATGCAAAACCCCGGGATGACCCTGCAAGTGTCATAAATATGAGTCAGTTGCCAAGCATCTGAATTTTGATTACATGACCATGGGGAAGCTGCAATGGTCATAGGTGCGAAAAACAGTCATAAGTAGCTTTTTTCAGTGTCGTCGTCACTAAACAAAGTATTTTAAGTTGAGGATTACCTGCAAAGAAATGTCTGCAAACAAACCACCAAGTTCAGAGTGTACCACAAACTCCACATTTTCAACCAGAGCTATGGATATGCTCTTCTATTATCACCAGCTTCTAATTGCTCCCCACAATTGGGAGCAAACCTCAATATCTGATACCTAATGCTTTTTCCAATCCTGCCAACTAATTTTACCCTACCCATTGCACCTTGTGATAAGTGTGCTCCTCCTCCCAAATTTATTTTGGCCCTTGTTTTTATCAACTTAGGAAAAGCTTCCTTTTGAGTGGAGATAAATGACATAACAGCCCCAAGACTGGGACTAATGTAGAGTTTCAGGAAAAAAATAACATACCATAGAGACTCTGTAAACGAAGAGGAAGAGAAGGGAAAAGTGGGCACACAGAAATTTAGCTGGAGAGCAACCATCACCGGCTCTTTCAGGCTACTGAGGCATCGTCCGCGGCTACCTACCCTGCCGTGTTTCGGCGCTTCGTCTCTATTTGTCAGCATAGGAGTTTAGTCTTAAACCGAGATTTCTTTTAACAGGCTTTAAGATATTTCGTCTTCAAATTTAATATTTTTCCCCGGCATGATTTTGGCGCCCCCTCTGGCCAGTCGAAGGAATCAGCCCGCAGATGTGCTCAAGGGGACGGGGTGCAAGGATCATTTTAGGAGGTCGTTCGTGTCTGGAAAGAGGCGGCCGGCGTTTGGGGACCCCACGGTCACGAAGGACAACGCTAGAAAGGGGCCACGCGGGACAACTGCCTGGAGCGGGCTCCATAACTGGTCAGCCCGCGAAGCCTCTCACTAGTGCAGAGCGTGGGAAAAAAAGACTGGCAAGTTTTTCCTTACTCCTGTCTTTCTGAAGCCTTCGGAATTTTTTTAAGACGGTGTGGACTTCAACTCCCAGAATTCTTGAGTTAGGGAATTCGGGGAGTTGAAGTCCCCGCGTCTTAAAGTGTTCCAGGATTTAAAGAGACTGCCTTAGCCAGGTGAACCTGCGGCAAGGAGTCGTGCTTTGTGTTTTTCCCGTTCTCTGCAAAAGCATTTGCGATGGACCTTGTTGCTGGTCTCAACGACGTGACGAGAAGAGACACGCATCTTGGAGAAGTGAGAGGAAACTTGGGGTCTGTGCGAGGTTGGAGGGAGAGACCGTGAATGGTTCTGCAGGGATGGCTGCTTTCTACTTGTTTGTATAATGAATCCATTTATTAAGAAACTTACTTTTAACTGTTTTCTTGGGAGGTTCCACTTTTGAACAGGACTTACTTTTAAGTGGATCATTCAGGACCATCAGCTTCCTGATCTAGACAGATGATTGGTGCTTCTTTTTACAAAAAAATATATATGCTGGAATGGAATTCCCACTGATGGTTCTATGACATCACAGCTAAAATGATCAGTCAGAATCAAAGCACATTCTCTGGTTTTTAACCTCTTCCCAAGTCCCATGGATGCTAGGAAGTACCCAAGCACAGAGGTGAGCAGCTCCCACCCACCCCATTTCTAATTGTAACACCCCCCCCCCCGTTTCTCTCTCAGTCCTGAACTAACATCCTGATCCACAATTATTTCTCTGCCTTCTTTTCCTCTCTCTGATTCAAACCCTTTGGCATTCATGTTGAAGTTTATTTAATACAAATCATTATTCTTCACATCCCTTTGTTTGTTTGTTTGTTTTGCTATTCTTGTATATTCAAAATGGTTTTTTTTCTTTACTTGCACATTTATGAGTGTAAAATGGGAGTTCTGAGGCATTTTTTAAACTCAATAGAGAACCATGTGCAGGCAATTCTGCTGCACGGTTATATCAAATACATGTATGTGTGTGACAGAGAATCAATCATCTTGTATTTATGACTCTCTGGGTAATTTTTAATGTACTATGGGATGATTTCCTGATTAGAAAGCTGAGTTTCTTTCATAAAGCTCACTAGCCAAGGAAACCTCAGGAAAGCTGTTGATGGTTGGTTTAAATTCACTGCATATTAGGGGAATTTCAGTTTAGACCCACACCTTTACATTTGTTTTTATGTTTAAGTTAACTTGGATGTTCATAACACCACATTATTTGAATCTTCCCACAAACCCCAAGGACTTTTTTTTTTTTAAAGAGAGATATAATAAGATACCATTCACAACTTGTGAGAGCTGGATTTAGCTTCAGTTGTCTTATTCCTTCAATGCTAAAATCACTTGTACAGAATATTAATTGTCTGCAATAAAGAGCATAAATATATTTTTCTTCTGTTCAATTGTGTCCAATACACAAGTCCCTGTAATTTTCTTGGCATGTGTGTGTGTGTGTGTGTGTGTGTGCATGCGTTGATTGTTTGCCATAGCCTGCTTCCTAGGACTGAAATATGGAGACCGTGAGTTCTAGTTCCATTTTGGACACAAAGCCAGCTGGGTGACTTTGGGAGCCAGTCATTTTCTCCCAGGGAATAAACACTGTAAGTATGCCCAATGTTAAAACCTTTTGCCCCCCTCCCCTGCCTTTGTGTGCATCATGGAACCCAGAAGACACAGCTAAAATTGGATTAAGGAACTTATGGTTCATCCATTGCCAATCCATTGTTGGGTGAACCAAGCCATCATATGGAACCATAATATGATACAGATACTGATGTTTGTTTGTTAACATGGATTTGGGGTGAATCATTTTGTCTGCAACTGGCCATCGAGGGCGGCCCCTAACTATCAGAACATCCAGACCTGTTTTAAAATTTCAGACAGAGCATTGTTTGTGTGTGTATAAGAAGGTGAATTGCTCTTTTTCTGTGAACAATTTGCAATGCACTAACACACTAATATTTGATGACAAAGTTATACACATAATTATGAGTAAATTTTAGCCATAATTACGAGTAATAAATGTTGATAACCTGATCTTCCTATGCATTTCTATGTAAGTCTCCTGCTTGAGTGGTGGTTTGACTAAATAACCTCCAAAGTCCCTTCCAACTCTGCTATTTTTCTAATTCCCATTTTAAAGCCATTCCATTTTATGGTCTATACCTCCTTAACCTGGTTATATACTACATTAAAAAACCTTGAATCAGGACCTTCCTTCATAACACCATCTCTTTAACCCTTATGCAGTTTCTAGCCTCTCTTCTTCCTTCGTCTTCTGTTTCGTGTCTCCAACAACTTGAATTTTTATTTCACTAAGATAGGTATAGCTCTGAACAAGTGCATATTTCCGTGAATCCAGATTCTTAATATTTCCCCTGTTATTCTTTAGGAGGCTTGGTTACTCTCTTGTGAAACCACAGACCATTAGGTTGACCAGTGAACCAGATCACAGCTTGTACGCAACCTCTCCCATCCTCATATGCCTTTTTTCTTTTCCAGATTTCGAATATTTAATGCCATTGCATGAGAAGACATGTTTGGTGCTGCTTTCATAAACCTTGGTCTTTCCTCGTATGGGTGCCTGCATCCCCAAAAGCATACCTCCAACACCACTAAGTACAGAAAACTTACTGTCAGCACTCAACACTTTGCAGATCGGTAACCGGGAATCTGACGAGATGGTGAGGGCTTGCTTAGATCATGCTGCCCAAGAGTTCCATCGTGAGCCTCACTGTCTACGAGATAATGCCACCTTGACGATTCAGGTGAGAGGAAGAAAGATAATGGAGTTTGTCTCTGGTGGAGGAGAAAACAAGATTGTAGTTTCTTGGTTAAAAGGAAAAATACACTACCATATTGAGATCTCCACCTTGGAAGTGTATTTAAATCGATTGTCTCTTTCTCCACCTCCGCTAACCTCTGAGAACTTGGAGAAGGTGAGACAGGAGCTTGCTAAATGGGACAGCATTACTAAGGAACTGCAGGCTTGCTTGGATGTGGCTATAACAGAGTTTGAGAAGGAACCCCCTTCAGTGAAGAACAATGCTGAACTGACTATTGAGTGTGGTAATTCCTGCTTAGATTTCATTTCTGGAAAGGGGAGGTCCCGTATCCACATCTTCCTTTCTGATAAACAACCTCACTATCGGGTTAGAGTTTCTTCTTTGGATGTCTATTTAGACAGGTTGAGCTATCGCACAATGTTGCTCACCACAGAAAACTTGATGAAACTATGGAAAGAAACAGAAGACCTTAAAGGATGTACAGTAGACCTCCGAGCCTGCCTCAAGCGAGCTTTACAGGAGTTTAATACTTTGTCCCCACAACACCGGGCCAATGCCACTGTCTTCTTTGACTGTGATGGGAAGAACTTCAAGATGGTTTCTGGGCATGGAGATAACTGGATCTCTATCTTCAACATTATTGGAGATCAACATTGCCGCAGAGAAGTCGTTCTAGCATTGGGAGAGGTGGAGACATCAAGCAAAGTAACAGGGAAATATGGGAAAGAAGGTCCATCATTTTGGATAAGAAGATCAGAAGCAAAGAGAAGTGCAGAGGAAGGTCCATCTAGTCTAGCCTGGAGAACATCTAACCAGCCAAAAGGGCTGGCCATTGGGAAAAAATCTAAAAAAGGGCCATGCATTATGAACGAGTTAAAAGAATTTGCATCAAATGATAGAAAAGCGAATGAAGAAACAATGTTTGTTCAGGGAAGAACACTTTCCAGTGGGAAAGAAACAGATACTGGACTCCCCAATAGGAGGGCACCGGGAAAAGAACTTAATCTTCTACCAAAATTATTATCAGCTAGTACCAAGAAACCTCAGTCTGATAGAAAAGAAAGGGATCTTGCTGGACCACTGAGTTTATACAGTGGGACAACAACAGAAGTGGTACTGGTTCATGGAAAGAATGAAGAAGTAGATAGTGAAGCAGCAGCATCTAATGACTCCAGTGAAGAAGACTCATCTAACATTCCAGATAAATCCTCTGATAGCAGACAGGGAGATGATGGACCAGAAAGATGACTCATCTAGAAGATTAAAGAGCCAGGATAATGTGATAGCCAGTCCATTGACTGGTAAAATGATGGATCGATTCCAGAGACAGAGTAGTGTTTCTGGATCTGGAAAAACAGAGGGCTGGTCCATCAAATGAATTGTGCAAGAATGATAACGAATAAATGATCTATGGACCTGAGATTCTTGTCCCTTACAGTGTCTTTCTGTAGGCTCTTTTCCCAATAGTGCCAGTATGTCCTTAAGCTGGTTCTGTAAGAATTTCTTAGTAATTTACTTTTGTTCCCCCCAAAAAGCTGATTATTTTTTTGTCCCATTTGTTTTCTGTTTTAGAATTTCTAAATCATTTAAATGGGTTGACTTTGTAGATTGTGTTGATATTTCAAGGCGGCTGAAAGTAACAAAAATGTAAAAAAATACAGAGTGTAGGAATATGATAGGGCTATCAGTCATCTGAAAAATCACCCTACTTACCTAAGTTAAGTCAAGGATACAGAGTAACATTCCCATGATTAAGTCAGTGTCCCTGTTTGTTTTGTTGTAGCGACATTGACCATGATTAGAAACTTCATGACTGATATTAATTCTGAAACAGTTACAATTTTGAGAGGCTAAATGTAAATGTAGATGTTTTCAGATCAGCATCCTCCATGCATTTCTTTTTTCTCATTATTTGAACCATAAATTTGTTTGTATTTGGTCAAATGAATGAATGAATGAATTAGAACTTTTTTAAAAATATTGCTTTCTGTGGCCAAAACATCTTAAAAAGTAGTTTAAAGAATCATTGAAATTCAAAGCATCACTAAGTAATATATTCAATATCAAGTCATATAAAGGAGTTTGTTTGTTTGTTTGTTTTTAAAAAAGGAAGAACACAATGTTATATAGGTGAGTTTATCTGAGTTCAGATCTGGTTTACAAGTCAAACAATGCAGGAATTTGTTCCCAAAATGGATTTAAAAGTGGTCCATTCTCAGAAAGCAGAGAGAATGGTTCAGACAAGGAAACCAATGAAGAAAAGAGCTATTGTGACTTCCGGTTCTGGTTCGCGGCGACTCCGGTCATGTAAAGAGACTTGTCTCTCCACCGGCTGTGTTTTCTTCGCCCGTAGACCCCCTAGTGGGTCAAAAGTCACCCTGGAGGGGTGACCACCGAGGAGGAGGCTTGCTGGTGACTGTGGGAGGGTGGCAGCTTCTTTCGCGGCTCCAGCTAACTCCTTAGGGCTGACGGAGCAAAGATCATCCTTCAAGATGTCCGATTCCTTAGCTATATCACCTGAAAGTCAGAGGTACATCTAAGCTTGAAAGACCCACCGCAGATGATCCAGGTGAGACCTCTCCTTCTCCTCTCTTCACCCTACTTGATTGTTTGCCTGAAAAAGCTCTATTGGAATTAATTCCCTGCCTTGAAAGAGCAGCATTTGTATGTGTGGGAAGAAAAACACCTGAATAAAAAGACAGAACAAGTAATTTCAATGATTATATTTTACTTTCATTTACTTTGGGGTACAAAAAAAATTTTTTTAGAGCTTTACTATCATATTTTTTTCCACCTTTTCCTTTAAAAGAGAGAAAAAAGGAAAAAAATGGTGTCTGGGAAAGATTTTGTAACCTACTGAGGACATCTTGTGGCAAAAAGTTAATATTGCAATTATCTGTTTTTCTTTGGAGATGAGGTGGGCTTGACCTTCAAACTATTCTTGAAGAGAAAAGATAAGCTGATCCAGCTGTGGGAAATTGTGGGGGTGGATATTGTTTATATATAGCCTCCACTAAATGATAAAAGGGACTCTCTTCAATTGCTACTAAAATGGAGAAACCTTATTTACAACTAAACTGTAAACTTATAGTGGAAAAAAAATTATGAAGCTACTGAAGAAGTATGCGCTAAAATGAAAGAGATTATTACAGAAATAAGAGCCAAAAGCCTTACTCCAAATTCTCCAAACCTTCAAACTGATCTCCAGACCTTATCTGACTATGGTACAAATCAAAATATACCAGAAGAAGAACTAATTGAGATTAAAGAGGCATCTATTTTACCTTACAAGCATTCCATCCATATTCTTGAGGATCAGAAGAACTAAAGATTGAGACTGGAACTTTTGAAGCAACGAGGGTTTAATGACAAAAGAGCCACACACCCATTACAGAGGACGGGGTGTTTTCTATTGACTCAAATGATATTACAAGCGACAAAGGGAGATCTACTTGCTGAGATAGAAGCTTTGTTATGGAAACCGGCCTGGCACAAAAAGAAAGCCAAAATAAGATTGAAAAGATAAATTTAAAACTATATGTAATGGATTAAAAGGCACTGTAGAAATATGGATTGATTTAAAGTTTAAGACTTAGAGTTAGAAGCGAGAGAAAAATTGGTGATTGCTAGAATATATATGTTAAATAGATTAAGAATGTAATTTTTGGAACAATAGGTTTATTTGTATGAAAACTATTTTGTAATGGAATGAATGAAAATGGAAGAGGTTTTATAGTGATTTGGATTGATTTAATAATTAATTGAGTATGTTAATTTAGTAAGATGATGCTTTATGTAATAATATGGGTGTTTCTAGATATGATAACTATTTGGATGAGATTTGAATTTTGCCTAACAGACTGAAATGGTTTAAGGTTTGGTATTATTTTGTTCTGTTATAGAGATAGACTGATTGATGGATGGTATATGTATAGGGTAGAGTTATATTTTATTTTAATTAGGATAAATATCGAGTAGTAGAAGAAGAAATAAAAGAGATTCGTGATAAAATTAAAGATTTAGGAGATTAAGAACTAGAATACATCTGGAAGAGATACCCAAAGTGATAATATGTTTATTTAAGGTTAAAGTGTATTATGATAATTGTAAATTAATAAAGTTTAAAAACAGGATTAGGATTTATAGAAATTTAATGTAGAAATGGATTATTTTAAATATATTATATTATTTGAGGGAAATAGAGAGGGGATATTTAATGTATTTACTTGGGTTATTTTATATGGATTTATTGTTGGATATTTGACTATCCCGAGCATTTTGTTATAAGAATTAAAAAACTAATAAAATCTGTTGTTTTTTTTTTTTAAAAAAGAGCTATTGTAAATAATACCATTACTTTACTAGAGGAATGACCTAGTGACAAGGTTCCCTTTAGCTCCCCCACAGCTGCTCATAGGAAAGTTGTAGAAAACTTAATTGGCTCTGGAGGTTCGTGCTGGCAGGGAGATTGTGGGAGTTGAAGTCTGCCTGTTTTAAAGTTGCCAACATTCAGAGCCATTGGCTAGAGAGCCATTGGTTGAATTCCAGCACTATACAGGAGGTTGGATGACCTAGTCCTGATCCCTCTTAATTTTATCATTCCAGGTTGTTGAAAAAGTTTTGGATTTATCCTACCCTTATAGCAGGGGTCTTCAAACTTGGCCCTTTTATGACTTGTGGACTTCAGGTCCCAGAATTCCTCAGCCAAGTTTGAAGACCCCTGCCTTATAGGGTCTTAGGGTGATTGCTGTTTCATGAGATATCTTAATTGTAGGTTCTTCTGAACTATCAATGTAAATCTTAAAACATCTTTTATGAAAGTAGAGTTGTTTAATCATGCAATATCAACTATTCCCATCTAAGGACAACTTTCATGGCTGGGTTTTATAAAATCTAGATGAGCTTTAGATGGCAGCAAAGTTGATATCACTCTTCTGAACAGAGGCTCTCTTTATATACTGAGCACAGCTACGGTCTCTTGCAGAAACTAGATGAAGTTCCTCATCTTCTATTTAGATTGCTAGGGCCTCCTTGAGGGATAGTAATAGTAGACAGTAGGACAGTTGGTGGATTGTTAGATGTCCATGTATTCATTTTTTTCTCCAAATGCTACTAAGCAGTTATATCAGCATCAAGTATTCAGTGGGTGTTCTTATTTGTATATGGATAGCAAAATATATACCTCATGTCTCTGCCTTTTTTTGTGAACTTTATTTAGCTCCTCTCCTCTCTGCTCAAAAAATGGTGCAATTAAAATAATTCCCCGATGCATCAATGCATCCGTCCATATGTATATAAAGTTTGACTGTCACCATAGATGAAGCTCTGAGAACTAACCCATTGTTTGTTTTGACTTTTTAAAAAGAATCAAGTTAGAATAGGTTATAAACAATGATTTTACAATTCAGTGTGTAAATCCGGTTGTGATTTATTTAACAAACCATACCATAGCACAATATGCTTACCCCCTCAGTAGTTTCATTGGTAGGATTTAATCTGCTTTAATATGTGAGATTCATCAGCTCCATCAGTTTCATTAGAAACTTATCAAATGTCAAAGTTCTGGAAACTCAGGAGAAATAGACACTCCCCCCCCCCCCCAAGTAATAATGGAATAAAGCCATTGCAATCAATTGTTTATTTAAAAAAGTCAGTGTGGATAATATTTGTTGACACATTGGACAACATGGATGTTTTTGCCTGAGTAATCACTAATCATTATTTAATAGCTAATCATTATCAGCAATAAATGGATCTCTTCGGAGAAGACACCTAATTTCATACCTCTTTAAATATACTGCTCAAAAAAATATAGGGAACACAAACGTATAGGATCCTATACGTTTGTGTTCCCTTTATTTTTCTGAGCAGTATATAACCTTGGGTAAGGTAAGCTAAGAATAATGACTGATCATGGATCTTTATTAAACCTGTGGTTAAGCATTTGAAACCCACAGCTTCCATGCTTTGGTGCAGTTTCCTAATTACAATTAATCAGCTTGATATATTGTTGAAAGTTCTCTTTTGCTTTTATTGATTTTTCTAGTCGAATAGAACTCATGAATGTAGTATTCACAATTTTTCCACCTTTGTTTTTTTTTTTAAAAAAAAAAGGTTTTTATTTTCCATTTATTGATACAAAATACAATTAAATTCCTAACCATTGGTACCGCCTGCCCATTCCCCCCAGGCTGCGTCCACCCTCTCTAATCCTTCCCCACTTCCCTCCTCTTTCTCTCCTCCCCTCCTACTCTCTTCCCCTCCCCTTCTCCTCTAACCATCCTACTTCCTCCCTACTCCTTCCTCCCCTCTCATCCCTCTCACACACATGAACGCAGCATAGGGGAAATGCCCAAGCGTTTACCATGTCTATATTATCACACCTTTGTATTTCTAGAATGTATGTTTAATTAAAGATTTCTTCAAACCCAGTTAAGGGCGGTTCTTTCCTAGCACCTTCTTTGCCCTACCACAACCCAACTCAGATCGCTCAAAAGGCAATTGGCTCAAAGAGAAGTCAAAACTTTTTTTTTTTTGTATGGACCCCTGATTATAGGGTTCAAACTAACTTTTGTCCTTAATATTGTTTTCTTATTAGTGAGATTATTTATTTATTTATTTATTAAAATTTATAGACCGCCCCACTCCCGCAGGACTCCGGGCGGTTTACAATAAAAACACAACATAACTTAACAAACAAACAATACAATAACATTCATCCAGGGGTCAGATTTTATAAACCCCAGGCCTGCCGGAAAAGCCAGGTCTTAAGCAGTTTGTGGAAAACCAACAGGGTGGGAGCGGTCCTAATCTCTGGGGGGGAGCTGATTCCAAGACGTGGGCGCCATCACAGAGAAAGCCCTCCCCCGCGGCCCCGCCAAATGGCACTGAAGGAGGTCCAGCCTGTGGGATCTAATCCGACGAAGGGAACTATGAGGTAGTAGGCGGTCTCAGATAATGGATGTATCTGAGCCTAGTATCAGAGTAACAATTGGTTGTGTTCTCTTGCCTATATTGGAACAAGGCACATGCCTTGAAAGATAATTTGCAACATGCAGGAACATGTATAAAGCAATTCTTTTGAGATGATGAAAAGTGAGGCATATTTGCCAAGTATGTGTGATTGCTTCCTCCAGCTGACTCTGCCTATGGATGCACACAATCATGTTGCTTTCCTTTATCCCCCATGTGTTCTTTCTTATCTTCCAGAAACATTGGGACACCACAGCAGCTCTGGGAATTTCCCACCAACACAGCCAGCAAACAACAGAAGATTGTTGGCATCCATAGATTTGGAAATAAGTAAACAGATAATCAAAAGTGCAGGAGGAGGAGAGCAGCATGTCCTAGCCAGTTTGAGCTCTGTGTGAATTGACTAGATTTCATTTACATACTCACTTACCTACTAGTTATTTATTAGAGTTGCTCACCACCAATCTCACCTCAAGGTGACTGTGGACAGCTTACAACATGAAAAGCCAATAAAACCATAAAGAATAAATATTTCTAATAAAGATGGGGAGGAAGGAAACGGGATGCACAAGGGGGATGGTGGGATCTTCCATTAATCACTCAACCACCTCCAGTATGATATGCCCATGTTGGGGCCTCAAGCCAACTGACTGATACAGGTCTTCAGGTCTTTAAATAAGGTAAAAAATGTGGCAGCAGATCTCACCTCGGGGGGGGGGCAAAATGTTCCAAAACTTAGGTGCCAGAGCAGAGAAGACTCTTGTCCTGGACCCTACCAGCCAAAATTCTTTGACTGCTAGAGTCCACAGCATGCCTCTTCTGCCAGCATGGATGGGGTGGGCCAGTCCTGTTGTGGTGAGACAGTTCCTCAGATAAACTGGACCCATTTCATGCAGGGTTTTAAAGGTGATAACCAACACCTTGAATTGTACCTAGAAGCAAACTGGCAACCAACACAACTCACAGAACAACGACGTTTTGATCCAGCCAATGAAACAAAGTGCAATGATGCTCAGAATCTGACAGCTGCCTGAATTTTAAGTTAAAGTTTAAGTTTCTCTGGTCAAAACATTTGGGAAAATGTATGTTCATTAAGGGGAAATAAACAGAAATCTGTACCTTAGTACAGGTAGTCCTTGACGTACCATCACAAATGAGCACAAACTTTCCATTGCTAAGACAAGATGGTTGTTAAGTGAGTTTTGCCCCATTTTATGACCTTTACAACAACAACAGTTAAGTGAATCACTGCAGTTGTTAAGTTAGTAACACACTTGCTAAATGAATCTGGTTTCCCTATTGACTTTGCTTGTCAGAAGGTTGCAAAAGATGATCACATGACCCTGGGACATGCAACTATCATAAATTCATGCCAGTTGTGAAGCATTCAAATGTTTGCTGCAATGGTTGGATGAAAATCTCGTAAGTCACTTTTTCAATGCCACTGTAATTTTAAATGGTCACTGAATAGTTGTAAGTCAGGGATTTTAATAATAATAATAATAATAATAATAATATTCAGAATATTATTAAAGATGTTCAGAAAAAGGTACCGTATATTCCGGTGGTCAATTAATCAGTTTTATTCATTCCTCCAAGCCAAAGTGATTAGAAAGGTGTACAATATCAGAGCATTAGATGAAAAAAACAGCAATAATACAAAACGTGAAGCCAAGCCAGCACATCCTTCTCTTTATATACATGATCCTTATATAGGTTCAGATGCTGCAAAAGTGAAAGAAACATCTTTCATTTTTATCCCTTAACAAGCAAGCATTTTTTTTCCTGCTGTAGATAAAACCGGCACCCCTCCTTTTTTAGTTTCTACCATGGAAAGAAAAAAAAATAACCAATATATGATAGAAAAGCTTAATTTGCATACTCTATCTGTTCCTTAAGGCTGATACGATCAGTACCAGTGAAAAAGAGCAAAATTGCTGAGAGTATTTTCCATGGGAGAAAAAACAGAAACTAGAACTTATGAGACATCAGGGTATTGGTCTCACCAATAGGGGGCATGCCAGGTAGAGGTAAGAAAAGGAGAATAATTGTGAGGAGACAGAAAAAAGAAAAAGTACAGCATCTCTGTTAATTGTCCTCTATTTCTCCTGATGGCCAATATATTTATAAAATGCAGAAATTGATGCAGTCGAATGCATACACTGCACACAAGGGGAGTGAGTGGGGTGGGTGGAGGACAGGCAAATAATGAAATTGATGTTGCAGTGCGCACTCTGTTTTTTTGTGCATTGCAGAATTCTTTCAGTCACTTTGATTCTATGGATGTCTCCGTTCATAGGTGAAGTCTTCCATCCCATAATATCTTGTTTATGGACCTATGTGACTTGTGAACTATCAAGCAAACACAGTCCACATTGCAGCTTAAACATTTTCTTGGGAGGCAGGAATAATAGCATGGGAATGGTGTCTTTAAGATTTGTTTTGGGGCAGAAATTCAGGGTGCTACCAAATACAATCACCCACTGAGTGGAGTACAGCTGTGTAATTGCTCAGGAGAGTATAGAGGAGATGCCATCCAACCTCCAAAATTTCTGAAGTGTGCCCCCAGAAATGGGTGTTAGACAGTGGTGGGAATTCAGCCAGTTCGCACCAGTTCGGCAGAACCAGTAGCTAATTTTATGTTACCCAGGCCCAGAATGGACTTCTGGAAGTGGCATCCACACAGAGAACTGGTTGTTCATGTATTTGAATCCCACCACTGGTGTTAGACCATGTTTCCTCTGAAGGGCTCACAAACTGTGCAGCTTTGTGGTGTGAGCTGCCATTATGATCACAAAGTGTCGGAAGGCAAGACAATGTGCTTGCGTAGTTAGGGACGGCAACAAAAAAAAGGGGATGAGAGAACAATTTGGGTGTTTCTTTTAGAGAGGAAGAGAGGAAAAAACAAACAAACATCAGGGTCAGCCTTTACACCCTGCAGCTCTTCCCTGCCTTGCCAAGCTGAGCTGTGCTAAACATTGGAAGTTGAAGCTTAATCCTTATTGCATAAGTCGGTATCGCAGCAAGTACGCTTGTAGGTTCTTTTAAAGGGAGTGTCCCTCTCCTCGGACTTGCCACAGAGTTCTCTATGTTCACCACATCCATATTTTTTAAAAAACTGGAAGCCAGCTGAAGGGAGAAGGAAAAAACAAAACAGAAACGTGAGATCAAGTAACTGAGATTACATCTCTGCACCACACAGATGAGTGTCTTCCTGGAGAGACTCTGGAATGCCCCCCCCCCTTCAAATCCCAATATATATTTTAGACTGGCTTCATATCTATTTGCACATCCTCATTCACATTGATGCATGCAACCTCCAGTATGCTATACTTGGTTCAATTCCTATAAAGCTTGCCACTTGGCTGGGATTAATGGAAGCGAGATTAATGTCTATGGAGATTCATAATCATCCAGTTTATGGTTATGCCTTTTTTTTTTTCAAAAGGCAACTGGAAGAAGCTTCTTGGATAAGAAGTGAAACATTTTCAAAAAAAATCAAGAAAGTTCAGTTGTCTTTTATTGGACTGGTAGCTAGAGAGGAGAAATGCTTTGTTGGAGAAGGTTTATGCCACTTCATACAACGCACAGCTCATGTGCCAATTATGAGCTAATGCTGTTTTCCTTGTTACCTTCTGGGAGGAGACTCCGTGGTATTTGAAGCAGAACATCCAGATTCAGCCAGAGTTTCGTTCCATATAGTATTAACCTTGTGAACTCTAAAGCTTCCTCCTTCCGTTATGTATTCAAGATGGACAGTGATTTATATTTATATGTTACTTATATGTAAGGGTGTAGGTCTATACATATATTGCATATAGTATGTTTTAAATGTGTATTATGTATGTGTACACTTTGAGAGGAAGCAATTAAATTTCATTTTTAATGTGTACCATTGTGCCCACAGGAAAAAATGACAATAAAGATTATCGAATCTAAAAAGCAATCTAATGCAGGGATCCTTACATATGCATGGATTGGCCAAATGATGTTCTAAGTGACCATTCATCTCATTGGAAAGCATTAACCAAAACTGGGATCTCCAAACTTTTCAGCTCATTAAACCTCCCCCTTTCAATGCAGATTGTTCATTGACCCTTGAATATTTATTATATGAAAATAATTGAATAAATACTTGTTTAATAGTACAAGTAATAATAACAATAATAACTCAAGGTCACTCTCACTGGCAGCTACCACTAACCACCTCACCTTCAGGAGTAGGGACTGGTGTGGAGTTCTACAGAGAACCCCCCCCCCAAAATTAATGGGCCCCAATCAACCTTTCATTATGTATCAACTACCCATTGCTCCCCCTAGACCAGTGGTTCTCAATCTTCCTAGTGCCGCGACCTTTTAATACAGTTCCTCATGTTGTGGTGACCTCCAACCCCCTATTCAGCTGGCCGGGGAGGGGGGGCAGGAAGGTCGCTCCACCAGCTCCACCCAGCCTGGTTGGAGAAGCGCCATTCCTCTCCCTCTTTTTCTCTTTCTTTCCTCTCTCTTTCTTTCCTCTCTCTTTCCTCTCTTCTCTCTCTCTTTCCTCTTTCTCTTTCTTTCCTCCCTCTTTCTCTTTCTCTCTTTCCTCTCTTTTCCTGTTTCTTTCTTTCCTCTCTCTCTTTCTCTTTCCTCTTTCTCTTTCCTCTCTTTCTCTTTCCTCTCTCCCCCTCTTTCCTCTCCCTTTCCCTCTTTCCTCTTTTTCTTTCCTCTCCCCGTTTCTCTCTCTCTCTCTCTCTTCTCTCTTCTCTCTTTTTCTCTCTTTCCTCTCTTTCTCTTTCTCTTTCCTCTCTTTCTTTCTCTCTCTCTCTTTCTGTTTCCTCCCTTTCTCTTTCTCTCTCTTTCCCCTCTCTTTCTCTTTCTCTCTCTCTTTCCTCTCTTTTCCTCTGTTTCTCTTTCTTCTCTTTCTCTCTCTCTCTTACAACAGCATCGTCGGGGGTCCCCACCACCCCCGGCCCGGCCTCTGCCGCATCCTCAGCTGAACGGGCAGGGAGGGAGAGCAGGATGGGACCCTGTGAGATGAATTGGGCTGAGAGAGAGGACAGGCTGAAGGGCACTCAGCCGGCTTTCATGCCTAAAGTGGGACTAGAATCCAGAAGCCTCTGGTTTCTAATCTTTCTAATCTTCACCACTACTCTAGCCTGGGTCTCAGTAGACAGAACAAATGGAAATCTGTCTTTGATTTTTATATTTATTAATGTGGAATTTTAAATTTTATAGATCTTTGGTCTTTTACATTGTTTTATCTCATTGTGCAGCAGTCAGTTACTTTTAGTGAGATGGTCAGCTGTATAAATTTGATTAATAAATAAATATCAGAAAAAATAGGTACTGGGCCAATCTGCTATTCAACTAAAAGGAAGAAAGAAGAAAGGGTATTTATTTTCTTTTGTCTGAGATGCTCCTTTCTTATTTATTTATTTATTTATTTATTTATTTTGGAAACAAGGGCTCTGATCATAATTTCAATTGGTAAATTGTCTCAGAATGAAGAAAGCAGCCCTTATGATAGGATTCTAATTAGACAACCTCAGCTTGATGGGCTGAAACCCAATGTTGGTTTTCTCTTTTAAACTCTCCTTTTCTGGTTAGAAAACAATAGTTTGTGTTTTGTTCACGCAGGTTAAGCTGGAGATATACAGCCTAACATTCCAGATTTGATTGTGCTCTTTGGGCTTCTTCAAAAGCTATCATGAATGTTACAACAGGGAGAATCCTTGGAATAAATTATTTACATGTACATTTTAAATAAACTGAGTGAAATTTACTTTTTGTCTTGGGCCTAGTTCTGCTGCATTCCCTGTTATTTAACTCAAGTACAACTCATATATTCATTGGGGGACTTCATTTGTGTTTTGTGAGGCTTTGTTTTCAATTATTGGAGCAAATTCTTTGCCATTCTTCTCATCTGTCCCAGCTTTTCCACTTTTTCTTAAAACACGGCACACAAAATTTCTAGTTCCATTGTTTCGATGATTCACTCTCTATTAATGCAGCCTAAATTGCATTTTCCTTGTGGTCCCAGCCTTATCCAATTGTTGACTTTAAGATAAGTCAACTTAACTATAAGACATTATAATGCCAAGATATATACCCAAATCAGCTATTTCTAATAGCTGTGCAAATATGATAAGTACCCCCAGGTCTTGAATAAAACTTCTTAAAAATATTGGATTTGTTCGTACCTAAATAAACCTCGGTCACCTCACACAGCTGGCCTTCCTCAGGTCTGCAGGGTTCTCCAGATATAACACACCAATAGCCCAGTTTGACGTCACAAACGTTGCAAACAAGACCTTGAGCTATTAAAAGAGAAATTAAAAAGGAATTATTTATCAGGAATGATCAAATCGTGAAGCTTTCTTAAAGAAGCTGAACAGTTAGATTCTGCCTTTCCTTCAAGAGATCAAGGTATTCCCTATCAATTAAAATTTGGTTCCGCCTTAGTCAGCAATTACAAGTGATCCTCGACGTATGACCACAATTGACCCCCCAAATTTCTGTTGCTAAGTAAAACAGTTGTTAAGTGAATTTTGCCCCATTTTCCAACAGTTGTTAAGTGAATCATTGCAGTTGTTGACTTAGTAACTTGGTTGTTAAGCAAATCTGACTTCCCCATTGACTTTGCTTGTCAGAAGGTCACAATTGGTGATCACATAACCGTGGGACACTGTGACTGTCATAAACATGAGTCAGTTGCCAAGGGTCTGAATTCTGATCACATGACCACAGGGATGCTGCAATAGTCCTAAGTGTGAAAAATGGTCATTAAGTAACTTTTTTCAGTGCTGTTGTAACTTGGAACAGTCACTAAATGAAGTGTTATAAGTGGGGGACTATCTGTATCCTGGCTAAGTGAAAACATAATTCTGATCCTACCTGAACCTTCTAATCATTTCAACAGCATTGCTACATCACCTATATGCCAAATGTTTACCTATTTACATTTAGACCAGAGAAATGCACTATAACTTTGTCCTGCATTCAACAAAAAACCTGGGGAGGATCCTCAGAAATCCTCAGACATGATTAACACAACAAAAGGAAAATAATTAAACATGAGACTAACAAGCAATGAGATTAACTATGCTTACATTTTATTCCAATAGAAATTCTGTTGATGAGACATTTTATTGTTTTATGGAATTTTTTTACATATTTGCAAACCGTTAAGAATCTAGGGAAACTATTGGTCTATAGCAGTGGTTCTCAACCTTTTTAATGCCGCGACCCCCCAACCGGTTGTAAGTCGAGGACTACTCAACCGGTTGTAAGTCAAGGACTACTCAACTGTGCAGCACCATTTGCAGAATGGGACTTTTGGCCAGCTCAGCAAGGCAGAGACAGCCTGGACAATTCCTATTGGCTTTTGAAAGCCAATAGAATTAGACAGCTAAGGAAAAGGGGGAAAAAATGGCGGACTGCGTTGTTTGGCGACCCCCGTGAAATGGTCGTTCGACCCCAAATGGGGTCCCGACCCACAGGTTGAGAACCACTGGTCTATAATGAAATGAAATTAATTTAGTTTTTGCTCCAGCCCTACCCTTATTTCAGCTTGTGCCCCGATTTAAACACTGCTGCCTGTCCCTGATTTAGATAATGTTTCAAAATACTCTTGGATCCTAGGTATAGATCAGGGTGTTTCAACCATAAAATTTTTAACTTGGGTGGACACTAGTTCCCAGAATTCCCCAGTCAGCATAAATCCTGGGAGTTGAAGCTCACATATCTTAAAGTTGCTAAAGTTGAGAAATACACAAACAGACACGTAGATACACACACCTTTCTCTGGTGGAACTTTGATCAAACTGTTGTGGCTGACATCCTGACTTTTTTTTAACCACACCCTGCAGAAATCCTGAGCCCCATGCTTACTCAAAAGATCAAGTTCCTACAGTTTTTTTTTAACTTTAATTTTATGAGTTTTAGAAAAGACACTGTGGGAATAACCTGTTGCGTGGAATGTATTTGAAAGGCAGTTCTGAAACTTGTGAAAGCACTGACATAGTATTGTGGTCCAGGAGAGAGAATGAGTCACTTTGTGAAGTATTAACAAGTGTCGGTAGTGCAGGATTCCTTGTGGCATTATATTGCCTTTGTAAACATGGTGATGCATGAAAAGGAATCTGTTTTTTTTTCCCCATTCCCAAAATCTTTTGCCACATTTATTCACCTTTCATACGAATCTGTGCTTTCACACCAATATAGTAAATGAAGATCAACAATCTTTTGAAATATGCATTTCTCTGGACAATGTGATGCCACAAAATCCTCAATGTATTGAAAATTATGTATTGGTGAAAACAGCATATAAAAAAGCTTCATGTTTAGGTTGAAAAACTGCAGATAATAAGAATGCATCTCCAAATGTGTATTTTAAGAGTATAATTTATAATACAGATTTCCAGAACGTTAAAAGTAAATCAAACTGATTTTAAAAATTAATTTTAAATATTTAATATTTAACACCAAACTTGCAATATTAATTAATACTGATGTTAAATTATTAATATTGTACATTAATATTTAGTAATATTAAACCCAAGAATACACTAAGACAGAAGCTTGCCCACCCCAAAAATAAAACACCCAGACACAAACTGAGCAATGTGCAGTACAATGCAGTGAGACATGTGCAGATCTGTACATTGGGGAAACAAAACAACCACTTCACAAATGCATGGCACAACATAGGGGAACCAACCCACCAGGACAAGATTCAGCAGTCCATCTGCATTTGAAAGACAAAGGCAACTCTTTTGAAGACAGGCAAAGTCCACATTCTGAACAGAGGGAACCACTGGTTCGAAAAAGGGGTCAAAGAGGCCATCTGCATTAGAACTAAATAGCCCTCTCAACAGAGGGAGAGGGAAGGATATGACAGCACCTATTTTCTGTCTACAACCAGGGCTTTTTTTCTCATAGAACACCCAGAACGGAGTTCCAGCACTTTTTTGGATGAACCTTGTAGAGTAGGCAAGGTATGAGGTGTGTGAGTTCCGGCAGCTTTTTTTTAGAAAAAAAGCACTGTCTACAACACAGTCCTTTCAGCAGTTCTAAGAAAATTCCATGCCCATTTGCACTCTGATTCAGGTGACCCTGACAGTACCTGAAGATCCTCAAGTGGTCTTAATGACTCTTAGAGAGATAATGATCAACCTTCAGAACTGAAGAAGCTTCTTAGATCAGAACTGAAATTGTTGAGTTCTTGGTTTGTGTGCAATTGATGAAGACACATGGTGACAATTAACAAACGCTTTATTTTCTTTCTCCTACAACCAAGCAAACAGTGAAAGGCACGCAGGCCTTTTATAGGGCCAGAAATCCAGACAGTGTTAACCAATAGGAATTGAGCATTTTCGCGCCTTGCACATGCGCACAAGGCTGGCACCACTCTGTCTGGTCCCAGGCAGCTTTTGGAATGCCCGGGACCAATTGCAACATTCTGAGCCTGTTTCCAGCTCTTGCAGGCTCAGGACACAATAGGAACATTTTCAAAGAAAACAAAGTCCAGTTGCCTTTTGGAAAGCAACTTTTGGACAACTAATTGCAGAGCTTCTATAACTCCATTATGAGTCAGAACCATCTAAGAAGAGTGCAGAACAATCTGTTTCTTTCTTTCTGTGTATGGTTCTCACTAGAGGTCCAAATTATTCTACATATATATTATGAGCCGAGGTGGTGCAGTGGTTAGAATGCAGCACAGTGGTTAGAATGCAGCACAGCAGGCTACTGCAGATAATAAGAACGCATCTCCAAATGTGTATTTTAAGAGTATAATTTATAATACAGATTTCCAGAACATTAAAAGTAAATCAAACTGATTTTAAAAATTAATTTTAAATATTTAATATTTAACACCAAACTTGCAATATTAATTAATACTGATGTTAAATTTTCTTTCTTTATCTATTTATTTGTATCCCATCTTTATTATTTTTAAAATAACTCAAGGTGGCGAATAAATCCAAGACACCTTCCTTCTCCGATTTTCTCCAAAACAACTCTGTGAGGTGGATTAGGTTGAGAAAGAGTGATAGGCATGCAGCTGTTTTCAGTGGATACATGTGTAGCAAAGAAAGATAACAATGAAACAATTGTTGGGAGAAAGACATGCAAGAATAAAAATTGAAAAATTAGGATGCCTTATATATTCTGGGACAAGACAATTGCATGATAAAAATTTTCACTAGAAACCTGCTAAACCCCCATTCTGTCTTTTCTTACTCTATTTTCTACACATCTTTTATTTATTTCTGGATAGGTTTTCCCATCCTGCCTTTCCCAGTAGTCACAGTATCAATTAACATTTATGAAGAGAGCAACATGAAAAAAAAAAAAAACAGGAAACTGTAGTAACCCATGGAAATAAAAAGCATAACAAAGCATTTAAGGTGGTTGATATGACTGCTTTTGTTATTATCATTTAAAGATATTTGTTTCTGGAAGCAGAAACAATAGCAAAAATAGTGTCAGGTAAGGCAATCCAAAGAGAGAATTCTGTCATTCTTAAGTGAAGCATGGTGATGTATGTGTTCATCACCAGCCTGACTTCTAAAGGTAAAGACAGCAAAAGAGAGCCTAACAGGTTTTAACAGGTTCATGTAGAAGCAGGTTTTCAGCTTTTTATTTATTTATTTGGCAAGGGTGGAGAAATTTCCTTCATGCTGGAGACCAGCCAGGTCTTCTGCAAACAGTGACTCAAAAAGGAATGCTGGAAAAACAACAACAACAACAACAACAATCGGAATGCAAGTCAGAAGGGACAGGTAATTGCTCTCAGGTAAGGCTGCCAAATAGAGTGTTATCATCTGAGCAGCCCCTGGAATGTGATGTCAGTTTGTTTAGGAGAGGAATGATGAGACTTTTTTGAGGAACTCTTGAGGTTGCTTAATCTTCTAAGTGGGAGACAATTGTAGTTTTGATAATAGATTCAGCACTGCCTATCTTGGAAAATCTGAATCCATTTCTCAGGCTGTGGATCCCGAGATATGAGCAACTGATTGCTGATTTATTTCTAAGTGGGCTTCAACACTACTTTTTGCAGCAGTCTTAATTCACTGAAATTCAGTAGCCGGTATAGGTATGCAGGTCTTGGTGTATTCGGGTCTTTTCCCGTGTAAGATTGAGAGTATCTTGGCGATGTTTCGATGAGGTCCCACTCATCGTCTTCAGGCTGGGGTCTTTGGCTTCGTGCTTGTGCGAGCAAAGTGTGATCGGAGCTGCCGTCTCTCTATATATATTGGTGGGGGTGTGTGGAGTGCTGGCTTAGTTGCTGTAGGTGGATTGGTTGGCTGTGTAGGAGTTATTGTTTGTGGATTGTTTGGCTGTTTCATAACATCCTGAGTAGATCACACTTTGCTCGCACAAGCAAGAAGCCGAAGACCCCAGCCTGAAGATGACGAGTGGGACCTTGTCGAAAGGTTTGGGAGTAGTAGATATTGGTTGACCAAGTGAGAGGACAAGCAGCAGAAGAAAGTGGTCATCTTCAATTCTTCTTTGGATTTGCAGAAGGTCATTTAGATGGTAAGGTGCAATCTTTACTATTGGAGGTAGGCTGGAGGGAACCAAGTTCAAGTTTCACTTGACCACAACCTGGAAATCTGCATGATTTTGGGCAAGTGACTGTCTCTCAACCTAGCCTCCCTCACGAGGTTATTTATGTTTATTTATTACATATATACACCGCCTATCTCATACTTATGGACCAATGAACCTTCATACTGCTGTGGGCCACCAGAGAAAGAGCAGAAGGGCAATGCCACCAATGAATTGAAATACATTTCAGATTTCATGGTTACTTGGGCTAGAATTCAGAGTAGGAAATAGAGGTAATAAAAACATGGAGGCAGTCACAATAAAAGCTCATAAATCCATGCCTGCTTTGTCTGCCATGATGTGGTAAGCTGAGAAGCCAATGTGGAGCAGAAAGTGGGTGGATCATCCTATCTCGAAACTTTTACTTCTGCATGCTTGTAATTTAGGGATCAGCTGAAGTTGTAAATAACTAGAAGCCATGTAGGTGATATTGTTTTAAACAAGCAACTTTGTGGTTATGCTAGAATCCATTAAAAAAGAGACCACGTTGTTGTCTTGAATTTGCACATAAGCACAAATACATATATACATATTGTAGATAACAAATATATATATATTACTTGCTGTTCTAGCAAGAATAGGCCTTTATTTATTTATGTCATCAATTTATATAAGGATCCATTTCAAGAAATTAACCTGGGCAGCGAACAGAGCTAAAAAATAAAAACAGATCAATATACAAAAGTTAAAAGTGCGCAATACCCAGCAGCCGATAGAACCACTACATTCATCCACACAGCAAGGAGACAGGTCTCTTCACACATTCAGGGTCACAGACCCAAGCACAGAACGAGGTCTTATGGGTCTTTAGGTTCTTATGAAAGGCTATTAGAGATAGGGGACAACCTGATTTCTGGAGGGAGAATGTTTCAGAGGCTACAGGGAGTTCTATACTACTAAGATTTCTTAACACTTCACAAAGTGAGCCATTCTCTCTCTTGGACCACAACACTATGTCAGTGTCCCAAATCATGAAGAGCTTTAAAGGAAACTACCAGCATCTTGACTTGTATCTGGAAGCACACCAGCACCTGATGCAGTTCCCAAAGTACTGGTGTCATGTACCAAGTAACCAGCACCATTTACTACCCATGCTGTTGCATTTTACACCAAGTGTCTTCAAGCACAGCCCCATTCAGAGGACATTGCAGTAGTCCAGACTGCAAACTTTTCTTGTCTTGTACATCTGGAAGACACCAACCTGTGGATTGTTTAACTAACTATTAGCACTGTGTTGAATTCTTCTATCTCACCCCAAAAATACAGCACTTACTCCAATTTTCAGCAGCGCAATCTTCGTCATTTTGAACATAATTGTTTTAAGCCTATTTTAAATTTCATAAAAACATTTTATGGTGAATGCCTGCCCAATTACCAATAGTTACTTACAATTATGAAACAACAGTAAGAGACAGTCTATTATTATTCTGTTTCAGGATTTATTGTGCAATTAATTAATCCTTAATACGCCAAGAGGAACAACCCCAGAGAAGCATTTTTGGAATCGTTATTCAGGAAACTGAGTCTTCTATCTCCACTTTTTAAAAAAAAAAAAAAAAAAAAAAGCCCTGTCAATTGGATTTATTTATTTATCCATCCAATTTGTATAACCACCCATTTCACATTCATAATTCTGGGCATCATAATAATAGTAATAGTCATAGTCATAATCATAATCATAATCATAATAATAATAATGTTGGAAGGTACCTTGGCAGTCATCTAGTCCAACCCCTTGCTCAAGCAGGAAACCTTATACCATTTCAGACAAATGGCTATCCAGTCTCTTCTTAAAGACTTCCAGTGTTGGAGCATTCATAGCTTCTGGAGACAGGTTGTTCCAACAAAGAAAGCTTCTAACAAGACTTTTCCTTGCTAACTTCAGTAATGTGGAAGCTGTGTTTGGGAATTAAGTCAAGTGGACTTCCTTGCCAAATACAGAAGTTAGTTACACTACAGTTGCAGTATCTAGGCCATGGGAACACTAATTGGCACCAAGAGATTTTCCTGTATCTCTTTGTTTTCACCTACTACTGGTTCATGAGTCCATTTGTGGCACCCATAGTTACAATCACTTGTGCACACAGCAGCTTGTGTGGTTGTCTAGTTGGAGAAAGTGATTATGGACAATGAGGATTAAAAATTGCAGAGATAACACTCTAGGCCAGCAAAAGAGGATCAGAACTTCAGAATTTTTAAAAAGTATAGCCAGGACTTTAATGCTAATTTGACATCAGGTAGCAAACAACATACAAAATGCAAATATTAGAAACACTAATTCAAATGTACAAATTGAAATATTATGCCAGATTAAAGCATTCACTTTTATATAGATCTGATCTATCCATATTTTCAGGCATTAGCATATCTTTTCTTTGGGGCTTTCTTACTTTGTTTAACAATCACAACCAAGACCACCCTCCACCGACATCACTATCATCACCACCAATAAAGGCACTTACCAACTGTGCAGAACAGAAGGACAGAGAACACAAGAAGAACAAAATTCTTCATCTTGATAAATCTCACCAGAGGAAGATGGAGGCACTGAGTATGTCAAGGACACAGAATTTATATAGATAGAAGAGCCCAGTCCAAATCTGGACTTGACACTCTTCCAAACAGATCTTAGGATAGGAAATAATAGGACCAAGATTTTATTATTATTCAGGCCCAGGGATCAACCAATGGGATGAAGAACATGGGATAGAAGACACACCTGATCTTTAGGAGATGAGACAAGGTATGTAGATGATGACATGAGGATATAGTTTCAATCCAATTACAATTCTGTTCTTGACCCAGTTCTTTTCTTGTTCTTTGCTCCGCAGCTTTCAAGGTTATTTTCTGTTCTTAGCACCAAAACAACAACAACAACAATAGAACGGAAAGATTTAGTATCTGGAACTGATACAGATGAGTTTTATTTCTTACCAATATTTCTCAAGTATACTACACCAATTGGAAAGTCTAAGAATTCTGATCTCAACATGTAAGGATGGTGGCAAGTTGGGGAAATGATTTATGCCCTTCCTAAATGGGATAACTTTAAGCCATGCTATATAGCATTAATGTATATAGCGCACCTATCACCTTAGCAAATAATGAAGGATGCCTATTTTGAAGCAAGATACTTATCTTAACAGTGAAGGAGAACCAATGACATGTGTGTCAATGGTGAAATACTACAGGGCTTTGGTTGACATGCCAGCATTCATCAACACCTAACAAGAGCTACTCTCGAAAGACACCCCATTTTGGGGGTGACTTTTATAGGTCACGTAAAAATGAGGTTGCGAAAAGTGGGATCCTCCAAAAACCAAGTTATTTGTATTTTGTTTTTGTAATTATTTGATGTTTCTTTGTAAAATACATAGCATCACACATGATTGGACTGCACTTTTTAAAAATAAATAAATATGTGAAGAATTCTTTCTATTTTGTTGCATGTGTGACATGCCAGAAGAGTCTGAGTATTTGACACACCAAGCCCCAAAGGTGCCTTACAGTGATGGCAAAAAGAAAATCTAAGAAGTGAAATTGTGATGTGGGCCAGAGAGGTTAGAAAATATAATGTGCATAATTATAATAAACAAACTGAAACCAAATGAGTGTAATTCTATCCAACTTAAATCTCAATAATGTATGGAATCTGTGGCTAAATCAGGATGTGATGAATAACCTAAATGAAAATGCATATTATGATATTATAGGAGGAGAGATATGTTATCAAGATCAGGAGCCTGATAGCATAAATTAAAAAAACATGTGCCCTTTAATAAAATAAGTGGTTGGAAAAAGTGTTAACAGATTCCTGATTTAAAGCCACATCGTCTTCCTGCTCTGATAGATATCTTTAATTTCTTGCAATTAGTTAACCTCCCTCTCACAAAAGGTGTTGCAAGCTTTAACCAAGTGATCTGCAACATGACAAAGGCATTATTAGGTATCAGATGAAAAAGCAGTCACTCCAACACAAGTAATTAAGGCAGCATAAATCCAAAACTGAGACAGAATTTCAGTACAGAGTTAGAAGGATCCATTTTTATTTTTATTTATTGCATTTTTATGTCTATGTGTATGTGTATGTGTGCATGTGTGTGTGCGTGTGTGTGTGTCTTTGACTGTAGGAAACTAAATCTTGTAGTTGAACAGCTCTTAGGATGTATTAAGGATCCTAGTGGCACAGTAATCAAAGTGCAGTATTGCAGGCAAATTCTGCCCATAGCCTGAGGTTTGATCCTGACAGGGCTCAAGGTTGACTCAGCCTTCCATCCTTCTGAGGTTTGTAAACTGAGGACCCAGATTGTTGGGGGCAATATGCAAATAAAGCTTCTATATTGTAAATTGCCTAGAAAGAGCTGTAAAGCACAGTGGGGCAGTATATAAGCCTAAATGCTATCGCTATTGTATGACTCTAATCTCTCTGTATTGTCTATCACATCCAGTTTTCTATCATCTTCCAATCTGATAGAAAATTTCATTTTCACTTTATCTAAATCATTGATAAAATGTTGATCAAAGATAAAACTTTGCTAGGCAGGGCATTTTTGTTTATGATTTTCATGTCAGCTGTGGATCCTTCTAATAAACATCACCTAATGCATATTTAATTAGATGGTTAATTAGAATATCATCAGGTATAGTAGTTTGCTAAATGTTTTGCCGAACTCATGTTATTTCTCCAGTATTCCCACAATCTATTAGAATTTACTTGATCAAAAATAAAATGGAACAATCTGTCTCCAGAAGCGGTGAATGCTCCAACACTGGAAGTTTTTAAGAAGAGACTGGACAGCCATTTGTCTGAAATGGTGTAGGGTTCCTGCCTACACTCTTCCAACTTTATTATTATTATTATTATTATTAGTAGTAGTAGTAGTAGTAGTAGTATATCAATCTTTAGCAAACATTGCATTATTTTTGGGATACTTATCAATCAATTCCTTGATGCTCTGGAATTTTCTCATGTAAATGATGGCAAACTAATCTGTTTTTTTTTTATATATCCTTCTTAAGTTTGGAATGGGACAACTCGCTACAGTCAGCTCGCCACGGCCAGTTCACCATGGCCAACTCGCCACAGGACAATTCAACAATAGAATAGAATAGAATAGAATAGAATAGAATAGAATAGAATAGAATAGAATAGAATAGAATAGAGCTGGAGGTCTTCTAGTCCAGCCCCCTTGTGCAAGCAGGAGAACCTATACCATTTCAGACAAGTGACTGTCTAGTCTCTTCTTAAAAGCCTCCAGTGCTGGAGCACCCACGATTTCTGAAGGCAAGCTGCTCCACTGGTTAATTGTCCTCACTGTCAGGAAGTTTCTCCTTAATTCCAGGTTGCTTCTCTCTTTGATCAGTTTCCAACCATTGTTTCTCATCCTTCCCTCTGGTGCTTTGGTGAATAACATGACCCCCTCTGCCTCGTGGCAGCCCCTCAGATACTGGAATACTGCTATCACGTCTTCCCTATTTTTTCTTTTCTTTAGACTAGCCAAACCCAGTCCTGCAGCTGTTGTTTGTATGTTTTAGTCTCCAGTCTTTCATCATTTTAGTTGTTCTTCTCTGAATTTTTTCCAAACTCTCAATATCTTTTTTGTGATATGGTGACCAAAATTAGTGTAACTCTTGTCCCGCAGCAAGTTGTTCTGCGGTGAGTTGGCTGTGGTGAGTTGTTGTAGACCCCTTGTCAACAATTATAATCAACAATTATAAACAATAATCATTGTCAATAATGATGAAGATGCACTGAAATTAGTATATCAGCCTTAAGGACAAATGCATACAAAGTCAAAATTGAGAAGACAGCAACAGACAGTAAGTGCCGCCTATGCAAAGAAGCTGAAGAAACAGTGGACCACTTGGTAAGCTGTTGCAAGAAGATTGCACAGACTGACTACAAGCAGCGGCATGACAAAGTAGCAACAATGGTGCATTGGAAGATTTGCAAAAAATATCATTTGCCTGTAAGCAAAAACTGGTGGGATCATAAAATAGAGAAAGTCATAGAAAATGATAAAATTAAACTGCTCTGGGACTTCAGAATTCAAACAGACAAGCACCTGCAACATAACACCCCAGACTTAACAATTGTCGATAAGAAAGACAAAAAAGTCTGGATAGTGGACGTGGCAGTGCCTGGAGATAGCAGAATAGAAGAGAAAGAACTGGAGAAGATAACAAAATACAAAGACCTACAAATAGAAATAGAAAGACTGTGGCAAAAGCAAGCAAGGGTAGTACCAATAGTCATAGGCTCCTTGGGTGCAATCCCAAAACAACTGGAGCACCACTTGAACACCATTGGCATTGACAAATTCGCTATTAGTCAATTGCAAAAGGCGGCCTTATTAGGAACTGCTTCCATCCTGCGACGATATCTGTAATACCATCAAACATCCACATCTGCCTATCCCAGGTCCTGGGTAAGGACTCGATAGGTAGACAAAATGCCAAATCCAATCTGAACATCTGGCTGACTGTGCGATGATCCATAATTAATAATAATAATAAAGTTGGAAGGGACCTGCTCAGGCAGGAAACCCTATACCATTTCGGACAAATGGCTGTCCAGTTTCTTCTTAAAAATGAGATTTTAGTCACCCTTAGCAACCAAATACTGACAGATATAGATATAGATATAGATATAGAGATAGATATAGAGATAGATAGATAGACAGACAGACAGACAGACAGACAGACAGACAGATAGATAGATAGATAGAGACAGACAGACAGACAGACAGACAGACAGACAGACAGACAGACAGACAGATAGATAGATAGATAGATAGATAGATAGATAGATAGATAGATAGATAGATAGATATCAGGGCTTTTTTCAACTGGTGGTACGTGTATGCGTATCACCGGTGGTACTTTAGCACCTGGCAGGTGGTATGCAACCCCTAGCCAAGTGTAGCAGGGGAGGAAACGAGCTAAAGTGGTGCCACACAGGCCTGGACAAGATCAGCTGGAGCTGCAGAAGCTCCAGGATCTATGCATGCAGCTACATGCTAATTGGCCACCCAAGGTTACTCATCTCCTGTTTTATTATGGAAAAACGTGGCCCCCTAATAAAAGAGTGATACTTAATAACCATATTCTTCTTTGGTGAGACAATATCAGGGTGCTTGGAAGGCAATTCCCTCCCTTAATTTCACAAAACGAGAGGAACCTTTGCTTTCACCTATGGGTGTATCCAGAAGAGGCAAGCATTGCCTTGTTGCATTCTTTCACACCAATCAATTTTCCCAGGATAAACAACTTGTATGATTCAGACTAGCTCTTGACAAGACTGGTGATCATCTGAGCTTAATTTCCTGCAGTTTCTGAGTAAACAGTTTTCTAAATTCTATTTGAAAGATCCTTCCTACAGGGCAGTTCTACAAAGAGTACGGAGCTTGAAAATGACTCAAAAACAGCAGTTGGTTCAAAATGCAGAAGTTCATTTAAAAAAAAACCACACAACTCCATTATTATTCATAAAAGTGAAATACAGAAAAATACAATACTCACATCAAGGGAAATAATAGTGATGATTCCGTGAAGTAAAAAAATTAAAAAAAAATAAAAACTAAGATGTATTATGTTGGTTTTTTAAAAAATCCATATAACATCCCTTGGTATCAAATA